TGTTATTGCAGTTGCCAGACACTCCTTGCAATTCAGCCACAGTGTTCTAAAATGGTTGACAATAAAGATTAAAGAAGGCCTTTTCCCCATTAGAGTAGCCTAATGATAAAGGACAGAAAAAACCCTGAAGTTCCGGTGCCTGCTATAACGCACATGTTTGAGAAGTGAGAGAATGACCCCCACTCCTAGGTTCTCAACATTAAGAACAATATAAAGTCAATGCACATTATTAAAAGGCCATCCACAGTAATTGCAATCTCTTGTTCACACAACACAAGCTGTTTCCAACCAGGAACAGCAAACAGCAGGAGTCAAATTTAATGTGATCCCTGTAATGCTTTTCACCTAAAAATTGTATTCTTATAAACCATTCAACACTTATGAAAACCATAGCTTCCACTGTATTTCTGTCTCTAATTATTACATGTTAACACAAGCAATAAAAATGCATATTTATGTAGGTAGCTGCTCTAACTCGTATTCAGTACTTTAAAAGATTCTAAAAACTAAACTACTGTTCTCATGATATAGATATAATAATATTAATTCCAGTAGTGAAAAAAATTATGGAAGTGAGATTAAATTATGTCTTAAGAGAAGGAGCCTCAGTTTCTAGAGTGATGATTAACCTTGTCATAAACTACTGCCTGAAGAGACTTTGAAATAACACCTATAATCTAAGACTTTAAAATGTAATAAGTATAATATTTTAAGAGTATATTTTAAAAAGCAAACCAAAATCATATAATTTCAAAGTGCAGGTAAAATAGTTTTTTAAATGTGAATGACCATATGTATTTCCTAATTCAAAAAAGTGGTACAGCACCAGTTCATACTTCGTTTCTAGGCTGAGCCCAATTGTATTTCACACTGCATAATGATCTTTGATAGAAACATCTACCCACAATTTACAGCCATGACCCATGTTACACAAAACATATACCAAAATTACATCCTCCCCCCATTCAAAAACAAGACATTGATAGTTGTGGAGTATGTCAGGAGATTAAATTTGTTACTGAAAATTAAAATCTAGTTGAAAAATTTACCATACCCCCAGAATTTCGTGAGATAGTGCTGACTGTGAGAGGGGCTTACTGAAATCCTCCATCGTTACCTTCCAGATTGTTTAAAAAAGAAAGAAAGAAAAAGAAATGAACAATAATTCTATTATCCAGAAATGCAATTGCTAATTACAGATATATTCAGATCTATATTTTAAATGTTTCAGTTACTCAGATTTAATCTTCCTCTTCTTTACAGGATTCTGCCCTTTATTCTTCGGGCTTTGGGCAGGGCCCTTTTAACTTTTTTAAAAAATCACAGTGTTAACAGAGAATAAACAGAAACAGGAACGTAAATTAAAATTGATTTGGCTATTTGCTTAGTTTAAACTTTTCTGGTTTAAATATTTGGGAAAAAAACCAGAAAGAGTAGAAATTTAAGTAAAGTTTGGGAATTATCTATCAATTATGAAATACTGAATTACCACTTATAATTTCCTAAAGCATTAAAACAGCTATATGCAAGCACACACAATACATGATATGTTACTCTTAATCCTAAATATGGTTTTGATAGAGAACTACTGTACTTTTACAATTTCAGAATATATTTCTCACGTTGCAATGTTTTCCCTATAGGCAATTCAAGTAAGAAACTCCCCTCTGTCAATGTTACAAGTTCCAAGTAAGAATCAACCTTGGATGATTTGACCCAAACCAGAAGCTATCTATCCTTCAGTAGACAATGCTGATCTAAGCGCTGGCTCTGGAAATTAGTTGGATGAACTCGTTTGTTCTGCATTTAATTAGAGGTTTTCCTGGCTGGCCCAGGGAATGTCACAGGGAATATTGTGAAATAAAAATGATTCTAACTTTGAAATCACAAGATGATTCCACAAATGATAAGAAGAGTGAGAAGCCAAGTGATTGATCACACAATTCAGGATTAATAACAATGTGTAGATCAAAACATTGTTTAATTACATATAAAATTAACTCAGTTATTCAAGGACCATTTACCCACTGGATAACCAATATTGGTTCTTCTCACCTTCATTATGTCTCTTGGTCATTTTACTTTTCATTAACAAAGAGTGAGAGAGTAAATAAAAAATAGGGACATACCACTCAAATTGACTTAACACTATTTGGTAGCATTAGTAAAAAAAAAAAATTAACTTAAATCAAGTAGATAAAGTATTTATGCAAGAGTGGGTTTTCATTATTTGCACAGCTTCATTTCTCCTATGCACAGAAAATTAACAGTTGGTTTTGACTGAGCATGTTTTGGCAACACACAAGAAAGGGAGAATTATAAGTCAGAGAAGAGCATGAGAAAGAGACAAAGAAAAAGATTCCTTGACCTTTCCAGTAAAGTGAAGGTTACTTGGAATAACATAGTAGCAAGCATCTGATTTCTATTTCTACAACTTGAAGACAGAAGAAAAAGTTTAACCTAGAGCTAAACTCTAATTTAAAAAACAAAATTGTACACTCAATTATTCTTCCCTTTATGTCCTATCTTCATAAGATACTTATGGATTATCTAGAATAAGATTAATTCTCCAAGTACTAGACTCTCCTATTATTAGAAATACAGAATAAAGAATCATGTAACCTAAATATTACAAGAAACTCCATTACTCAAAACAGGAATCCTCTTCCCAACATCTCTCGTTCCCCAGTTACTGTGTGTGTCTGAACAGAGACAGACCCATCAGCCCACTCCATTCAAAAACAGCAAAGTGTTGTAAAGAGTCCCAACTTCGGAGACAGGAAGACTCTATTCCCACCCTAAATCTGCCAACTACTGGCTGTAGGACTAGAAAAAGCCTAGTTTGCTTTGTTTGCTTCATTTTTAGAAAAAAAGTCTCTTCTGTGTGCTCTAAAGAGTATATGAAATCATGCAGGGAAATGCACTTTGCAAAGTGCCAGGCACTGAATATTTATTTACCCTTCTTAGTCCTGAAAAATACCTGGCTCAGGTGACAATCAACTTCGCTTTCTTTAAAAACAAAACAAAACAAAACAAAACAACCCTAGGCTAACAAAAACATCTTCATGATGTGTTAAGTATAAAAGGTGAGTAACAAATACTCATTTTGCGTTTACTCAAATTAGAGAAAATCTAGCATCAAACAACCAGCTTTAAGGGACCTGAGTTGAAAGCTTTTGGGGCTGAATAGAATCAATTCCTCAAAATAACTGGAAGAATGTAGTATGTAGCATGTGATCTAAAATTTTCACTAGGAGAGCCTTAAAGAACTATCTTATTTTACCTCTTTCCTTTTTAGACTTGATGTTTTATTTCACAGATTCTTGGGCTATTAAAAGCTAGAAAGAATTCAGAATTTTAGCCCAATTTATTAAAGCCAAAGACACTGAGGCCCACAGTCTGGAAAGCCTGGCCTCTTCATCTTCCCCCACTTGATGTCTTCTGAGCTGCCCTGAACTTCACCTCCAAATTCTTTCTAGCAGAGTGAGCAGGTAAAAACCAAACCTGCAGAGAATGGTTCTATAATCCTAAAATAGGCTTGCAGCCAAACCAAATCAGGGTCTTTGACAAAACACAAAACACTAGCACAGAGAACTGAAGACCACTAGGTAAGGTGAAAATTTAAATATTTGAGGAAATTGTTTTTCCCCACTTTTTAACTTCTAAATCCAAGATAGCATTTTCATATGTAATATCTCAGAATAAAAAAATACTTGCCATTTCAAATGCACTCTGCAGGTGAAATATTACATCAACTATATAAGATTCTAAGAGACTAATTCATTCATATGAAGACTTTGTAATGTTTATTCTTTGATCAAAAGTTAAGTGACATACCACTTTTTGCTTTTCTACTACAATACATGGAGAATACATCCTCATTGAACTGCAATCATATAAAAAACTAATATACATTTGGGTTAAAACATTCCAGACTAAAAATACATAAAAATATTTCAATGTCTGTTTATTAATCTTCACTATGTCCTGGCTAGAAACCAGAAAATAGAAAATAAAAGCTCTGGAAAAAGAATATATTCAGATGAGCAGAGGTTGAACATAAGAAGCTGCACCGTCCTTACATCAGCTGGTATAAATAATATATGTTTTACCTGAATATTTACTATGTTTATGGAGTATGAAATACCATGATTAAATTATTGATGGATTTTTTTTGACATTCCAATATGAAACACATGCATGTTTAAACATGTTTATAATAAAGCATGTTGTCCCATTATATCAATGTACATTTGGCATTTACATTAGAAATAGACCAGCATCTGTATTGCATTATAACGCACAAGGTTTTCAGAGAGCCATTTTCACTTGGGGGTTAGCTTCTATTCATTTACTTGATCTTCTACAGAGAGCAGGATGCAAAATTATTCCAATATGTATCTACTCTAAGGAATATGTGCTGGTGGAAAGGCTTTGTTCTGCACTATGTTAGCACAAATCACAGTGAGCAGTTCCAAAGAATTTTCTTCTCCCGGAAAAAAAGAAACCTGAAAACACTCAGCATTTTTGAGTACTTTCCTGTGTATGTTTGTGTATGTATATGTGTGTCTTTCTTCAATCAAAATGTTTACTCATTTTTTTGTTCAAAAAGCATTACAAACTTACTGCAGAAAATTGGGGGAAAGTCGAAAAAATATAAAGCAGAGAGAGAACATCACCAAATTCCAACAATAAAGACAGCTACCATTCGCATTTTGGTATTTTAATTCTTTTTTGTTTCAGTGAATTTCTTTAAATAGCACAAAGATGACTTCTTTGATTCCAAAGTCTTCATGCTGTAAATAGGATATACCATTACTTGATTCATCAGTTAATAACAAATGTAATATTTCTTTTCTGTGGAGTTGAATGTAGACATGTTCTCCATGAGAAACTGCAAAGAACCTATCCTACTTTTTCACGGCAAAGAGTTTTGTAAAGTAGGAATGTGGTGGGAAACAAGGTAGGAGGGACGTTTGCGAGCACCAAGCACCGCTTACCTCATCATCGTCGGCGTCGTACTGGGCGTAGTGCTGTTCCAGCAGCTCTCTCTGGCGCCTTTCTTGTTCCAGTGTCTGGCTTATCAACTGGGCAACCTCACTCACTTGTCCTGGCTTTTCTCGCCCAATAACAAATCTGTAGGAAGGTGAAAGGAGACTAAGACAGTTAGACTCTTGGGCAGAAAGAAGCACTTAGAAAAGGAACTAAGCTTGACAGCTCATCACGGTCCATCAAACCTCAAGAAAATAATATCACATACACACTCTAAATGGTATACCTGGGTGGAAGGTATAGTTCCCTGAGCAACTGAAGAGGTCACTGCAGACACAGCCCAAAGGAAAAGAAAGGGAAAAGTAAAGGACGATAAAAAAATTTCTTTGGGAGAAGAAAAAAGAGATGTGATCCATTCTACACTACTTCACACACTTCTGATGCCCTACAAAGTGGACGCAAACTCATAATTTCCTGTACAATTGAACCTGAGAATCATTTCCACAATACTGTCCTCTTTACAGTGTAAAAACTGCTTCAAAAACGTTCTGAGGAATAGCATGCCTTAGGTGGGTTAGTGGAGAGGGGCACAGACTTTTGCTAAGTTACTCTAACTTTGGAGATACAAAAAAAGAAGGGGAAAGAAAAGAACAACTAAATTAAGGAGAGGTGATGAATTTGAAAATTTGCTTTTGGAGAAAGAGGTGTTATGAGGAAGGTTGTGGTTTCAAGGTACAAAGGGAAATACCTGTTCATAGTAATTACTGTAAGAAAAAAAAAGTATAAAGTAAAAGGAAGGGAAGTCATTTACTTATTGCAAAGTTACATATAATTATGATACATCTTCATCAATACTATGTATCTGGCTCAACAAGTTAATATTCACTTCCTTACATCTTTTCACACTAATATACGGTTCTATTTTTCTAAAAATATATGAGTAGTACACATGACTTAGTTTCTATATATCATTTAATTTCATTATTTTGAGTGTGTCTCTTTGTTTAATCTTGTTTCTATACTCAGAACTGATGCTTTCCTCTGATTAGAATAGATTGCTATCTTTGATCACAAGTTTAAATGAAATATACCACCATTCTCTGTACAAATGCACTAAAAGTCAAAATTTTTATACTTAGATGTTAGTAATTTCCTTTATAGCAGTATTTTTATGTAGTTTCAAACAGGATTCTGAAATTATGCTCAGGTGTTCATTTATCATTTGAGTTGTTTTCCTTGGGGATCAATTATGAATAGAATTTGTAAATTCTATAATTTCCATTCTTATTCAGGTATAAGTTACACATAATAATATATCAATTTTAAATGTACAATTTGATAAGTCTGACAAATGTATAAAACTAAAATCACCACATCAATAAAGACATAGAAAATTTCCATCAACCTAAAATATGCCATTTCCTTTTCTAGAAAATCATCCTCACCGTGTGCCTAGATTAGGTTTGCTTTTTCTATAGTTTCATAAAAATGGAATCACAGAGTGTCTCACTTCTTTGGCTTACCATAATGTTTTGGTCGATAAGTCTATCCATGCTGTTTCAAGTTTCAGTAATTCATTCCTTTTTATTATTGAATAGTATTTCCTTGTACCAGACGTACTACATTTGGTTTGTCTATTCTTCTATTGATGGATAACTGAGTTGCATTTTGGATATTATAAGTGAAGTTACTATAAACATTTGTGTGAAAACCTTTGTGGAGACATGAATTTTCATTTCCCTTAGACAAATAACTAATAGTGGAATTAGCATTGGATAGCAGCATATGTTCAACTATTAAAGAAATAGCTAAATTTGTTTTCAAAGTGGTGGCACCATTTTATAGTCCTACTAGCAATGCATGAAAATTACAGTTGCTTTATATCTTCATCAACACTTGTCTTTTAACCTTATACCTTAAAACTTACAATGATTTTAATTTCCAATGCTTTGATGACCAATTATAGTAAGAAGCCATTCATATATCTTTTCCAGTGAAATACCTTTTCAACTCTTTTGCCAATTAAAAAAAAAACTGGGTTGTCTGGTTTTTTGCTATTGAGCTGTAATGGTTCTTTATATATTCGGGATGCATACTCTCAATAATCTTCTAATCCTCATAATCCTCTAAATAACAAATACACATAGATACATACAAACGTACAAATAATGCATGCATATCTGTCTTTCTGACTTATTATCTTCTCCCAATCTGGGGTTTACCTCTAAATTTTCTTAACTGTGTCTTTCAAGGAAGTCCAGTTTATCATTTTTGAAAAGACTTGTGCCTCTTGTTTCCTAAGAAATCTTTGCCTAATTTAAGATAGCTAAGATTTTTCCCATTTTTTTCTAGAAGTGTTAATGTTTTGATTTTATCTTAGGTCTATGTTACCTTTCAAATTAATTTCCATGCATGACATTTGATAAAGGTGGAGTTTCATTATTTTCCAAATAGATAACCAGCTGTTTCAAAACCATTTGCTGAAAAGACTATTCAATACTTCCATTGAATTACTTCACCACATTTGTTGAAAATCAGTTGACTATATACTTGTGGGCTGATTTTTGGACTTTTCCAACCTATTCTAATGATGTATTTATCCTAGTGTCAGTATCAAACTGCCTTGATTACTATATTGAATATTACTATACTATATTGAAACTGGGTGGTGTGAATTTTCCAGCTCCGTGTTTATTTTCCAAAACTATTTTGACTATTCTTAAGTTATCTGCACTTTAATATAAATTTTAGAGTCAGCTTATCAATTTCCTTCAAAAGCCCACTGATGTTTGATCTGGGATTGCTTTGAATCTATAGATCCATTTGAGGAAAACTGACATCCTAATATTGAGCTGATCCATGAAGATGGTTCATCTCTACACTTATTTAGATTTTCTTTACTTTCTTTCAGTAATACACTACAATGCTCAGTGTAAGGCTGTAGCCATAGTTTGTTAAATTTACCTCTATTCATGTTTTTTTCAAGTTAATGTGAGTGGTACTGATTTTTTAATTTGTTTCTGATTGTTTCTAGAATACAGAGATACAACTGATTTTTTAATATTGGCCTTGTATTTTGTGACTTTGCTAAACTCACTTATTAATCATAGATTTTTATATATTCCATAGAATTTTTCTATATATAAGATCATATGCACTATGAAGGCATTTTTATTTCTTCTTTTCCTATTTATTTATTTAATTTGGAGATATTCACTTTCTATGATGAAAGATACATAAAGTCTTTAATATGCCCAACTAATCTAGAGATATAATTACTATCTTGAATTCATTATATTTTTGGTCAAAAGTCAGAAATGAGATATAAACATAAAGCAATTAACAAACTCCTATCCTAGAAAGAAAGATTTAGGAAAACCTAAATTGACCCTTTATGTTTCTTCAAATGCCTACTAGAGTGGGGTTTGAGAGAGAATCACCTACTTACCAGTAAGCTGACAGGAGCTTGAAGGAAAGCTATTAATGTACAAAATGCTATTAATGGGAAATAGTATAGCCAAAGTAAAAGGCAAATAAGAATTCACATTCATTTAAGCTATCAATTCTTTAAACTCATTTGAGAATTACATTGTCAGATCTTTCCGTTGAACGGTGTTCCCTAAGAATGGAGAAGTTTCTTTCCTCTACAAGGCAAGTGTTTAAAATTACTCTGAGCACAAGTTAGGGAGAGAAATAGATAAGACTTGGTTCACTTGCCAAAGAGGTGGAACCAGTGCTGATGGATCTAGAGGTGAATGAAGGAGTCTTAAGATTTTGTGAGACATTTTAAAGCAGGAAATTATTTTTAAAGCCCAAATCATAATATTAGAGTGTACCATACATAATAAATTATATAATAAACCAAAGCTCCAATACAATGTACAAGCTTTTTCCTGTCCTCAAAACATGATCTCTAATTCCAAACCAGAATTATTTGTCATGCTAAAACTAAAAAACAAAAGACAAAAAAAATCACCCAGGAAACAAAAACACAAAGCCACCAACAACAAACTAAATATATGTAGAATTAAAGTTTCAGAAGAAACAAGAATTGTTCCACATGACATAAGAAACCAGCATTTCAAATTATGAAGGCATAGTTGCTCAAATCACAGCATGGCTTTCTAAATTTGCCCCTAAAATTTACCATTATTCACTGTTTTTCCAGTATTAGTCTGTATTCAAAATTACTTTACAGTCTGACAGAATAGAAGTGATTTGTAATTGTATATAAAGTAGATAATCCATCTCATGAAATATACTTTTAAAGTGTTCTATTAAAGTACAACACATGTCTTCATTCAGGCAGCTATTTGGGGTAGCATTTTAGCACTTAGCTACATACATCCTTAAAGCCTTATAATCTAGTATCATTTATAATTCATATGTGCAGTAGTAGAGTGTCATCCTGATAAGTATGGTTCAGAGGGAAAACACCCAGAAGTGGGACTAAACTAAATTCCATGCCTTATTTTTTCCTCACGTTATAACAGGTATCTACTCCATGTGTCTAAAAGAGCAAAAAGAGAATAAAAGGTGGTATGGGGTGTTTGGGCAGCTAAGTCGGTTAAGCGTCCAACTCTTGGTTTTGGCTCAGGTCATGATCTCATGTTTTGTGAGTTAGAGCCCTGCATGGAGGTCCTCACTGACAGCATGGAGCCTGCTTGGGATTCTCTCTCTTCTTTGCTCTCTGCCCCTCCCTCCCCACCCCCTCTCAAAAAGTAACTTTTACTTTTTTAATTTAAAAAATTTCTTTAATGTCTTATTTATTTTTGAAAGAGACAGAGCACAAGCAGGGGAGGGGCAAAAAGAGAGGGAGACAGAGAATCCAAAGTAGGCTTAGGCTCTGAACTGTCAGCACAGAGCCGAATGCGAGGCTTGTACCCAGGAACCATGAGATCATGACCTGAGTTGAAGTTGGTTGCTTAACAAACTCAACCGCCCAGGCCACCCCAATAAATAATTTTTTTTTTTTTTTAAAAATGTGGTATAGACATGAAAGGACGTTTGACACTATTATTATTCTGAGGAAAGTGGTAAAATCTCCCACTTGGAAAATGTGTAACATTCAAATTACCTTTCTATATGTTACATGTTTGGTCCATTTTTAAGGTGTCTCTATAAATATGGACTCCTCTATCAGT